ACCATGTTTCCGTAATGGCAACAATATCATATCCGCCCTCATTAACCTGAATTTCTAGTTCAACCTGTTTGCTGTTCATACTCTGTGCATTGGTGTATAGACATTTGAGTCCTTTATGACTGACCCTGCGTTTACTGTCTATGTACCACGTGTGGTGCCTGAGTTCCCCTATTGTCTTACCATCTATTTGGTTAGTGCACTTTGTGTGGCACTCGCTATTAGAAGCTTGATTTTGCTTGACAGCAAGGTTGATATTCTTGTCCACACACACATCTATGTTACGTGCACTGATAGCCCTATAGTTTTTAGATTGCCGGGGACAGGGATGTTCTGTGTCAATTAACTTATTGTCCCTGCTGTTTAGTTTAAATATTCCTCCAGAAAATCTGTGAATTTATAGCCGAATAACTCAGTCCCTTTCTTTGATGGATGCAAAGCATCTCTTTTGTACATTTTTTCATTGGACCAGCTACAGACATCATGACTAATATATCCAAAGCCTTCCCCTTTACACCACTCCTTTAGCCACATATTGAATTGTGCTATGCGCTGGCCTTTTCCATTTTGCTCATTATATACTGGTAAAACTTCTGAAAAAGTAAGCCTACAGCCTATTCTGCTAAGTTCCTGCCCCAAGCTCTGGAAATCGTTCTGCACAGAGAGTACATCTTTTTGGGACAGATCGTTAGTGCCAAGATGTACAATAGCCTCCACATCACAGTCCTTGCTGGCATTCTTGATTATTTTAGAAATACGCTTCTATGTCCCTACTGGCAGTAGCACTTGGAAGACATCTGACCTCTTTCAAAACCTCTGTGTCCTTTCCTAAATTTACGTCCCTTATAATTGAATCACCTACCAGAAGGTAGCTTCTCTTTTTGGATGCCTTTCTGTTCTTGCATGACTGATGTGTAATACCTGATTCACACTTCTCCCTGTCAAAAATAAGTTCTTCATCTCGGACCACGATCCCCTGCTTATTTGAGTTATCATCACAAATATCTTTACCTGTCTCCTTAATGTCCCTATTAAGGTCAGCAAGGGCACTGTATCTGTTGTGCAGGGACACAGCGAAAGCTTTGCATTTATGATTCACAGCTCTCACCCTGCCAGATCCCACAGTTGTCCACACTGCCCTTCTCCTGCAGGATCTTTGTGGTAGAGGGGGCTGATAGCGCGGAGCTCAGTAGAGTAGTGGGACTGAACTGGACACCTAATTTCTGCCTGAAGAGCACAGATTACAGACCCTAGATAAATAATCTGTCCTTGTAGACTAGTGATTTATTACAGATAGGACAGTTTCCAAGTTTGAAAAGGGTACTGCAAAAGACAGCTGCAAAGCAAGTGTTGCACTGAACTAAGCCAGACATTCTTAGATACAGGGAATCTCAGACACACGTGCCCTGAATGTACCGCTGTTTATGATTTTTAGTTATATAATTCGCGCACTGTTATTATCTGTTGCAGCCTTCCAAGAAAGACAGCAGTTTGTAAAAGCTCCCAGCAGCTCTGGGCAGTTAAATACAATGGAGATCCAATCAGGGCCCTGGCTACCTTTCTTTTTTGGGGTGGGGGAAGAAATTTTATTGGTTTTTTAGTTTTTTAAACAAAATGCTCAAGACACACCGTGGTGTTAGGGTAGTCAAACATCCAAAGACAAAACATATATACATAAAAACAGTCAATACATCTAGTATTCCCTCTCTTTTTCCCTTAGGTAACATAATTTATTTAAAATAGTCCAATTCTAGTTTAAATTTATTCAACCTATACCTGATTTTAAAGCTTTAGAAATTTACACTACCATAATCAAATTAGCTTTAAGTATAAACATTATCAATTCGGGTATCCCTTCCAAATATATTCTAGTTCCTTGATTTGATCATAAATCTTATTTAATTCTTCTTCCACTAATATCCCTTAATTAAAATAAAATATTAATCTATCCTATACGCATCTAGTCCATCAATTAATCAATCTCTCTAAGCTGACAGAAAAAAATCAAATCCATTAAACAGAATTCAAATTACATCCAGTTAATTGTCATAAGTAATAACATCCGTGTTATCAAACAATCAAATCATCTTATTAGATTAACTCAACATTACATAATAATTTTCTTACAAGTAACCCTATTGTCCTAAAAAAGAAAAAAGAAGACACTCTTAATCAATTTAATATATATTCGATTAATCACCCCTTTTTCTCTTACTTCTAACTCACAATCTTAATCCTAAAATCAACCCATAATTCTAGATTACCTTTAATCCATTAACTAAAAATATCTCCTTTTTAAGCTAAAATACTGATCTACCCTAGATCTATCAATCTCTTTAGGCTGACAAGACAGCATCAAACCTTAAATTATTTCAATTCATTGAGCATCAAACAAATCATTTTGTTAGAGATAGTAATTTTCATATAAGTAAACTTTATATATCTTCCATTAGTCGCCCGTTTCTCTTACATCTAACTCATAATCTTAGTCCTTAAATCAATCCATAGTTCTAGGTTGCCTTTAGTCCATTACATAAAATTTTAAATTTCACTTTGTTTCAGTCTTATTCTTGGTTTCTTCTTATGCCAAGTAGGTTTCCATAGCAGAGCTTCCCTTCCAGCTGATAAGTCTCTCTTTATTGCTTGTAGTATCATTTGGATCAGTGAGAACCATCTTGGCCTCTGCATTAGCCCTCTGACTCTCTTAACCATAAAGTCTCATTGCTTTAACATTTCAAGTCTCAGTCTTTGCTTTTTCTGGTCCTTAGTACCATAAGTGAATTGTTTATAAGGCAAAATCAATTTCTCTTTATTCTCAGTTAAGTTCTCTTCTTGTGTAATCTGTTTTATAGAAGAATCAGATGTAGTCGGAGAGTCAATTTTGAAGTTTAAAGGAGAGATTTTGGTTCTTAATTCTGTAGTAAGCTCTTTCATTGTAGCACATATTTCTTCTTTAGCCTCATAGATCTTTTCCAAAATAAGTTTACAATTTAAATGTGAGTGCAACTCCATTTAAAAAATTGTTCAGCTGGATCAAATTATCTTTCTCTTGAAGAACAGTTTGAAGGCCAAAACCATCTCCTCTCCAGATAGACAATAATTACAATATTAGCTTTTAACCAGTAGATGTCCTCAGTGAGCTAAGAAATCTTTTTCAAAAGTCATTTTTTCTTTTCTCTTTTTCTGTTTTTTCAGGGAAAGGTGGAGGAAGAAATATTCAAAAAAAAGGCAGAGCAGCATAGACTGTTTCCCCATACCCCAAAACATACATACACACACACACACACACACACACACACACACACACACACACACACACATATATATATATATATATATATATATATATATATATGTTTTCTGAGGTTTTCGCGGGTATTTGTATGTAGGTCTTTGGTTGTTCGGGTTTTCTCCCACGTAAAATTGGAAGTGTCTTGGCGACGTTTCGACGAAGTCCCATTCGTCATCTTCAGGCTGGTGCTTTCAGCTTCGTGCTTTGAGCAGCAATATATATATACACACACACATATACATATACATATACATATACACACACACCCCAAAACATACATACATACATACATACATACATACATACATACATATAAACCGTAGTCGTTAAGGTTTGTTCTATTCTTTTGTTTGCCTTTCTTCCCAAACATGTAAAAGCTGCCTTTCCAAGCCAGGGAAATAATTCCAACAGGGCAAAAAGAAGCAAAAAGGCATAAAGAGAGGAAGAAAAAAGATATCACCCAGATTCACCACGGTGGGTTTTCAAGCTTAGCTGTTCTTTGACTTGCAATTTCTAGCGGCTGAGTGATCGGCCATTTTATTGGCCGATCTTCTTCTCCATCAGCCCACAATGTTGGCCCAGACAGCTGGAGGAGCCACCGTTCCTCCACTGCCGAGCGAAGCCTCTTCGACAGAAGTTGCACCCTCCAGGGTGACTTTAGACCCGCATAAGGGTCTACCGGCGGAGGGAGGCTAGCTGACAAGGAGACGAGTCTCTTTGTGCGATTAGGAGCTCCGCAACCTGGAACCGGAAGTCTGGGCCTCGGCTACCTTTCTGTTGCAGCGATTCCATGTCTACCTTGATTTCTTCTTTACTCCTTTCCAACTCAGCTTTATCGGATTATGGTCAGCCCAAATATTAGGTTCTATCTCAACCTCATGTATATTAGTTCTTAATTTAGGGGACATTCATATTATATCAATTCTAGACCATGATTTGTGTCTATTTGAATAAAATGTATACTGAGTCTTTTTTGGGTTAATTTCTCCAGACATTCTGTACGCAGATTTCTTCTGCCATTTTAACAAACACCCTAGGTAATCTTTCTTCCTTTTTTTCTTATTTTACTACTTTTGTAATCAAATTTTTCATTCACAATTGCGTTAAAGCGTCCTATTAAACAAATATTTTGATATTTCATTTCCAATATTTTTCTGTGTTTATTGTTTGGTACATATATTGCTACTATCAACATCTTTTTTTATTTATCGTCATTTCCACCCTCAAAATTCTTCCTTCTTCCTTCAAGGTCCCTTCCAACTCTGTTATTCTGTTATCCATCAGTTAAAGCCGCCACATCTCTAAAATTAGCTCAAAAGCTTTGACTGTAAACTAATTTGGGACATTTTTCCAAGATTAAAAGACATAGATTTTCTTCATACACACATTTGTAGGTGTGTGTCTATATTTCTCTCTCTATGCATATATCTGCAATTATATAAACTATGCCCATCACTTCCAGATGTATTTAATGATAACCCTTTGTATTGGTAAGAATTTGTGATTGACCGAAGTCAACAAGAAATTTGACTGAATGAATATTTGAAAATGGATGTCGGTAGTCTTCCATGTATCAGATGAATCATAAACAATGTAAGAGATTATTCTATCAGTGTGGCATGTTTGCTTTTTCATTGTAAAGTATACTTTTTTTTAACACCTCTCCCCATTTTATAAAAATTAAAGTTACACTTTTCTTTAAATCTTATAGAAAAGAGGATGGGAAGAAGAGCACTCTGGACAGCTAAAAATAACAGGCAACATTGAAAAGGAAAGCAAATCAAGCTAGAAATCAAAATATTTTCCATTTCCTTCAGAAAACCACACAACTGTCCTCCTCCAGCAGTTCTTAGAAAAAAAGAGAGAAAATCAAGAAAGTTTTCAAACTGGAATAAGTAGATTATTCAGAACTCAAGGATACATTACATGAAAAATGAAGGGAGATTATTCATTCAGTAAAAGAGGGAAATAACTGGAAATCAGTGCAGGAAAGGGTGAGTAGGAAAGTCACGCAGGCCTCGCTTCTGAGGAAGAAAACGGATTGAATGAAAGCACCAATAAACAAGGGATTGTCCATATTTTTGACCTCCTCAAGAATATCAGCTGTGGAAAAGCTCTGTACTTGTGTCTATTGTTGGAAAACCACAGATTGCAAATCACAACTGATTATGCACAGGAAGAGCCACACTGGAGAAAAGCCATACAAATCATCTGATTGTGGCAAAAGCTTTAATCAGAACAGCTCCCTTGTGGTTCATGGAAGGACCCACACAAGAGAAAAGCCATACAAGCACTCCTAGTGTAATAAATGCTTTAGTGAGCATGGCAACATGGTGATACATCAAAGGATTCACAGCAGGGCGAAAAAATACAACTGTACTATTGTGTGAATATTTCATTAGAAATTCCCCATGTCGGGAGACACCATAGGATCCACACAGGAGAGAAACCCTTTGAATGTCCTATCTGTGGGAAATGTTTCAGTCACAAGTCCAACCTGGCGATACACCAGAGGATTCACACAGGAGAGAAACCATACGTTTCCACTTTGTCGCAAAAGTATCATTTCAAATTCTGACCAGATGAAACGTCAGAGGACTCACACAGGAGACAAACCCTTTGAATGTCCTGAATGTGGGAAAAGTTTCAGTGACAATTCCTGCCTTGTGAAACACCAGAGGACGCACACAGGAGAGAAACCGTTTGAATGTCCTGAATGTGGGAAATGTTTCAATAGGAATTCCCATCTGGTGAGACACCAGAGGACTCACACAGGAGAGAAACCCTTTGAATGTCCTGATTGTGGGAAAGGTTTCAGTGAGAATTGCAAGCTCTTGACACACCAAAGGACTCACACAGGAGAGAAACCCTTTCAATGTCCAGATTGTGGGAAAAGTTTCCATTGGAATTCACACCTCGTGAAACACCAGAGGACTCATACAGGAGAGAAACCCTTTGAATGTCCTATCTGTTGGAAAGGTTTCAGGTGCAAGTCCAACCTGATGATACACCAGAGGACTCACACAGGAGAGAAACCCTTTGAATGTGCTGATTGTGGGAAAAGTTTCAGTGAGAATGGTAAGCTCTTGAGACACCAAAGGACTCACACAGGAGAGAAACCCTTTGAATGTCCTGATTGTGGGAAACGTTTCAGTAACAAGTCCAGCCTTGTGATACACCAGAGAGTTCACACAGGAGAGAAACCTTTTGAATGTCCTATCTGTGGGAAAAGTTTCATTGACAAATCCAACCTGGTGATACACCAGAGGACTCACACAGGAGAGAAACCCTTTGAATGTCCTGATTGTGGGAAAAGTTTCAGTGAGAATGGCAAGCTCTTGAGACACCAGAGGACTCACACAGGAGAGAATTCCTTTGAATGTCCTGATTTTGGGAAAAGTTTCAATCAGAATTCCCAGATCATGACACACCAGAGGACTCACACAGGAGAGAAACCCTTTGAATGTCCTGATTTGGGGGAAAGTTTCAATCACGAGTCCAACCTGGTGACACAACAGAGGACTGACACAGGAGAGAATTCCTTTGAATGTCCTGATTTTGGGAAAAGTTTCAATCATAATTCCCAGATCATGACACACCAGAGGACTCACATAGGAGAGAAACCCTTTGAATGTCCTGATTTTGGGGAAAGTTTCAGTCAGAATTCCAGCCTTGTGACAGACACACCAGAGGACTCACATAGGAGAGAAACCCTTTCAATAGACTAATTGTGGGAAAAGTTTCAGTCAGAATTCCCAGCTGGTGACACACCAGAGGACTCACACAGGAGAGAAATCCTTTGAATGTCCTGATTGTGGGGAAAGTTTCAGTCAGAATTCCAGCCTTGTGACACACCAGAGAACTCACACAGGAGAGAAACCCTTTGAACGTCCTGATTGTGGGAAACGTTTCAATGAGAATTCCAAGCTTGTGAGACACCAGAGGATTCACATGGGGGAGAAATCTTTCAAATGTTCAATCTGTGAACGTTACTTCACTCATAAATCATCCCTTATTGCACACGAGGAAATCCATATGAGGCAAAAGTTGAAGAATTTAGAGAAGGCTTGAAATTCATTTATGATCTCCCATTGAAACTGTAGGTGAGAAAATGACTATTTGAATTGTGTTCTGAATGTGTTTACTCAAACATGTCTCAGGACTAGACTTGTAGGTGGAGAGAAAAGGAAAATGGAAGAGGGCTAACTAACAATTTCTGGTTATCAGCAGCAGGTACTGGATCTTTTGTTGAAGTTGTGGATTTCCTCAAAAAGGCTTCTGGGTGGTAGTTTTGTATATTGATTATATAATTCCCACATGTGGAGTTTCACGTCTTCTATCTTGGTTTCCTCCAGATTTTGAGGCCCAGAATTCCTCAGCCAGCGTTGAAAAGGTCCTCAAGATATAACTGTCATGGGCCTTGTAATTATGGCTTCACATTGCAATGGCCGTTAACTACCCTGATCTCTCTGATGCAGCCATTAATTGAATGTTTCAGTCACTAAGTGGAACACTGGCTACCTCAGGGTTGGGGAAAACTCTTGGAGGCCTAGTGCAGGCTCAGGTTGGCCTGTTGTAGGCATCTCTAGGCCTCCCCCACTCTGTGCTCTGTTTTCCAACCCTTGTGCCACCCAGTTCTTTCCCACCCCAGGGTCTCCACAGGCCTTTTCTCCCTCCCACTGAAGCCATCCAGCTTTGGCTCAAAGAATGGATTACATTGAGAAATAAACAACTTCTTTACTTAGAGGGCCATGATCTGCAATTGGGTTGGCATGCGTTTTTGTGGTACAGGAAAAATAAAGTACATGAATATTTCCAAAATCACGCCATAAGGTATGTACTGCTTCCAGAGTGGGAGAGAATTAAACACAAAATTTATATGAAAATACCTGAGTGGCTTTCAACGATGGAAGAGTTTGCTTACCCAAATTTAATCAACTATGACAAACTTGTTACTTACAAAAACATTCTGGACAAGGACGGAAAACTTAAAGACAGGCAAGTTCTTCAGCAACAAGGTATTGACTTAACATGGTGGTCTTATTTGCAAATTCAAACAAGACATAAAAAAGATGCAAAATCAATGGGATTTTATAAAGAACAGACATTACTTGATAAAATACTTTTAAAAACGGACGAAAACTTGATTAAGAAGCTCTACAAATTTCTGCCAAGCTGGAAGATGAAAGAAGAACAAGTAAAAGAAACAACGATAATGTGGACAAGAAATTTTGGACATTCTATAGATCTAGAACAGGGCTTTTCAACCAGTGGTACAGGTATCACCTGTGGTACATTGGCACCTGGCAGGTGGTACGCAACCATCCTAGAAAAGTGGTAGCGGAATAGGGGAATGAGCTGAACCAATGGCAGCACTGCACAAGCCTAAGCAAGAGATGGCTGTAGCTGCAGGGCTGTCAGGGCTCAGCGGAACCACCAGGATCAATCCTTTCCAGCTGATCAGCGTTTCTTCAAGACTGTCCGGGGTCAGTGGAAGCGCCAGGATCAGCGTCAGGCTCCAGCTGGAGCTCAGCGCTCATTCTGGTACTTCTGCTGAGCCCTGAAGAAGCACCAATCAGCTGGAAAGCAGCACTGATCCTGGCCCTTCTGCTGAGTCCAGAAGAAGTGCCGATCAGCTGGAATGTTGCAGCATCCCCAGGGTATTGTGATTTACATTCAGATGCTTGACAACTGATTCATAATTATGACGGTCACAGTGTCCCAGGGTCATGTGACCTGACCAAAACCTGCTGCAACCAGCCAGCAGACGGTGGGAATAAAGACCAAACACCCCCACCCCACCCCCGCTATTTTTTGGGGGGGGGTCATCAAGTTTTTGACACCTTGCTAGGCGGATATTGCCACATCCTAAAAGTGGTACAATGGGTGAAAAGGTTGAAAAGCTCTGATCCAGAAGACTGGCAAAAGCTTTAGGATAGAAATATTAAACTTACTAAAGCAGCTTCATACAAAGAAAATTTATATAAAATGTTTTATAAATGGCACATGACACCAGTTAGATTAGCGAAAATGTTTAAAAATGTACCGAATATCTGTTGGACATGTAAACAAAAACCAGGTACTTACTATCATGTCTGGAGGACATGTCCTAATGCAAAGAAATTTTGGTTTAAGAGCCAGCTGATCACTCAGATTGCAGAGTGCCTGTGGGGGGAATCTATGGGTCTCTGGGATGGGACTGGGATGGGTGCCTGCCTTCCTTCCCTCCCCTTGTCCCTTCCTTCTTTTCTTTCTTTCCTTCACCTCCTTCTTAGTCTCTTCCTCCTTCCCACCCTCTCCCATTGTCCCTTCCTTCCTTTCCTTCCCCTCCCTTAGTCTCTTCCTCCTTCCCTCCCTCTCTCCCTTTGTCCCTTCCTTCCTTTCCTTCACCTCCTGCTTAGTCTCTTCCTCCTTCCCTCCCTCTCCCATTATCCCTTCCTTCTTTCCTTCCTTTCCTTCACCTCCTTCTTAGTCTCTTCTTCCTTCCCTCCCTCTCCCATTGTCCCTTCCTTCCTTCCTTCCTTCCTTTCCGCTTTGTCCCTTCCTTTGTTCCTTCCCTCTCTAATTGTTCCTTACTTCCCTCCCTCTTCGTCCCTTCCTTCCTCCCCCCCTCCATGCCCTGGAAGGGACAAGGGGAGGGGGATAGGCTGCCAGCGTGGTTGGGGGCTTTACTGCCAGCAATCCTGCCTGTGCACAGGCAGAGACAGAGGAGAGCTCGCCCAGCTCACTTGCTCAGTTTCGCCGAAAGACACGCCACTTGCTAAGTTAGCAGAAGCTCCAGGATCAGCGCCGGGCTACAGCTGATTCGCACTTCTGCTAAATTAGCGGGCTTAAGCAAGTTTGCTGGGCAGGAGCCAAGGAGAACAGCTACAGCTGCAGAAGCATGGATCAGCTGTAGAGGCTCACCCCGATCCCGGATAAGAGGGAAGAAAGGAAGGGACAAAGGAAAAGAGGGAGGGAAAGAGGGACAAAGAGGGAGGTGAAAGGAAGGAAGGCACAAGGGGGAGAGGGAGGGAAGGAGGGACAAAGGGAGGCGAAGGAAAGGAAGGAAGGAAGGGACAAGGGGAGAGAGGGAGGGAAGGAGGAAGAGACTAAGGGAGGGAAAGGAAAGGAAAGGAAGGAAGGGACAATGGAAGAGGGAGGGAAGGAGGAAGAGACCAAGAGGGAGGGAAGGAAAGGAAGTTCCAGCCAGGAGAGGCTTGCCAGCCCAGCTGCCAAGAAACAGATGAGCGCAAAGCCAAGGAGAAGAAGGTGGCGGTTTCCTCCCAAAGGGGCTCCTTTTCTCCACCCCTTCTCACCCCCTTTGCTTCCCCCTCCCCCACTTTCATGAGGATTGTGGCGCCCTTGGGAAGCTTTGAAGCTTATGAGTGGAGGAGGAGGAGTCCCTTCCTCCTTCCTTCCCTCTCTCCCTGTCAAGCCCCGGCAGGCTCAACATGAACGGGCGGAGGAGTCGAGGATGGGCAGGGTGGCAAAGGAGACCGGCGGCCGTCGCCAGACCTCCTGGCTGAAAAGCGCAAGTTTGGGGGTCGCCAGCTGACGGGCACAGCAGTTCGGCACTCCGGCAGTCTCCCCTTCGCTGACCTGCGTGCACGAGAAGTCAATCCGGTTGCTGCACAATGAGTACCTGGGGAGGGCGGGGCCTTGCTCTGCGCCTGTGCTCTTCAGGTGCCCCCTGCAGGGCACATTTGGTAGACTTTGTGCAGACTGCCGCCAAGCAGCATATTTTCCACAAACAAGTGAGGTGGAGCGGAGGGGGGGAGGGAGAGAAGGCGGTTGACAAGCCCTGCCTAAGACCATCGGAAATATGTGTTTTCCGATTGTCTTAGGCGACCCCTGTGAAAGGCTCGTGCGACCCCCAAAAGGGTCACCACCCACAGGTTGAGAACTGCTGGTCTAGGCCATGGAAGAGAAGGATGGGGGGGCATGATGGCTGTCTTCCACTACTTGAGGGGCTGTCACAAAGAGGAGATCAACTTATTCTCTAGGGCAACAGAAGGCAGAACAAGAGGTTCATGGGTGGAAAGTTGTCAAAGGAAGATCCAATCTAGAAGTAAGGAGAAATTTTCTGTCAGTGAGTTCAATTGATCAGTGGAATGGCTTCCTTGCATACGTTGTGGATGCTCCATCCCTGGAGGTTTTCAAGAATAGACCGGACAGTCATTTGACTGGAGTTATATAAGGCTCCTGCCTTGAGCAGCGGGTTGGACTAGACCACTGAGGTGTTTTCCATCCCTATGATGCTATGATTCTAGATTTAGAGGCAGCTTAGAAAATTGGTACAGAGCAGTCATGTGAAATTGCTTCTGGTAAGGGGCCTTTTGAAAGAAAAAATATTAGCCAAATTAAGATAGAATACAAACTCCCCAAAAAAAAAATTACAACAACAAAAGAAGATGGGCAAAACATTAAAAAAAAGAAATGTGCATTACAAAAGACAAAAACAGAATTACATATAGTAAATCAGTTGAATGTTGATAAACATAGTGTAACAATATCAGTTTCCTATCCTCAGAAAGCAGGCTCAAAATTTGTGAATTTCTACCTCTAGTTAGAATCAATTTGTCCTTCATCTATCTACTCTGTATAAAGGCAAAATGCTGAACAGATGAACCAACAGTAAAGTTAAACATCAAAGCCCTCTCTTAACCATCTATTGTATTTAACTACAATGGCTTGTTATTTATGGTAAGTCACCCCAATCATTGTTTCTGATCCATCCAGGATCAAATATACTCATTTGATTCTTAATAATAAAGCTTTTCCTTAAGATTTTGATTGAGGACTTTCCCAACAATTGTGTCTTATTCCCAAAAATGATAAACCTCTGTTGTCGATTTATTTTACCAAAAAAGTTCAGTCTAAATTGTTTTCCAGTTAAATAAAATAAGTCCATTCCCCAATCTTCTTAAGAAAGTCCAGTTTTATCACGCATCGAGTCTGTTTAACTCCAAATCTTTGGAATCCACATCCCCTTCAGCCTTTTCCAACCAGCCCGCAGTTTCCATCCATGGTCAGGCGGCTTCTGAGAAGTGGCTGTGCTCCCAGTCGCAGCTTCTTGGGAAGAGCTCAGCTCAGCTCACAAAGTCACCTGGGTCCTTTTTGCAGAACCATCCATTCATGTGTGCTCATAGGATCATATGAAAAAGAGTTCTATGGTTTTTACATATCAGGACATAGTAAAGTCATCTGGTCCTTAGCAGTTCTTAAAAATGGATAAATAAACCTCAGAAGAAAAACAACAACACATGACATATAATACCATGTCATAATTTTCATTTAAAAGAAAGTAAAAATTTATTTAAGGTTTTCTAAGGAATGCCTAAAAGTAAAGAGAGAAACAATATTTAGAGCAATGAACTGATATTTAAAGTCTGCAGATGAATCATCCTGAATTTAGAAGAAACCAAGGAATTGTACATTTGTTCATTTCACTAACACAATCCAGAGGACTGGTTACAATTTTTTTCTAGTGGATCACATTGTAGGTAGGCAGGCAAGCTGTCTGGAGGGCTGGGACATTTACGCCATAAATTACAGCACGCTACACAGGAAGTTCTTTGTATGCCATCTTTAATTCCTGAATGAAAAGGGGATCAATAAAATATACCTTGCGCTTCTTTTATTCCAGATTCCTCCATGCAACAGAGCTCAGATCCAATAGCTGAAATGGCCACTATCCCCATCCAAAACCTACCAGATGTACATTAAAAACGGCAGTGCAGGATGTCCCTCTAAAAAGGTTAGCCTGGTGATCAGTCGGCCATGTGCTTTGGTGGGATATTCTATTCTTCCCTTCTGTTTTCTTTTTAAAAATCTATTTTAGAAATATTTCTTCTACCATATATTCACAATCACCCGCTCTTTCTTAGCCCCCTATTTTTGGGCCCTGCTGTATATTTTTCTCCCTGTGACCTAATGGAGACTTCTGTGCATGCAAATTTACAGAAGTACATGGCATTTAGCATATATAGGTTCTCCTTCTTCAGGAATGAAGCTGGTATGCTGGGTGCTCTTGGATGCAGCCCTGGCCAGCAGGAGTGAAGTTGGCTCCCCTGCAGCACCTGGCCTGATGTTGCTGCTATGTCCTAAAACCTTGGGAGCCACATTAAATAAGTCATAAAGATTTCAGATGCAGAGAGGTTTTGATCTCCACTGAGAGTCACCCCTAGGAAGGCTGATTGTGTAATTGTGTAAAACCCTCATGAACATTTGGGGCTCAGCACATAGCTAATCTTCTAATGGAACTAATCTAACTAGCATCACATTTCACTAGGCCAGGGGTAGGCAACCTTGGCTCTTTTATGACTTGTGGACTTCAGCTCCCAGAATTCCTGAGCCAGCCATGCTGAGGGAAAAGGGGGAGGTTTCCAAGCTGAGCCATGCTGGCTCAGGAATTCTGGGAGTTGAAGTCCATGAGTCATAAAAGAGCCAAGGTTGCCTACCCCTGCACTAGGCTCTGTTGCAAAGGTCGGTTGCTAGAAGTCAGAAACGATTTGATAGCTTTTAATCGGGTGGGGAAATCGTACAAACACCTTAGGCAGAGACGGGACAAGCGTGTTTTTCCCCTCCTATCCGCGGTCAAACAGGCAACATCTGTGCCTATAAAGCAGACAATAAAGAAGGCGGCATCTGTGTTTGAGTTTAAAGGAGTTAAAACCATCGAGTACTATATTGCTAGAAAGGAGGTGAGGAGAAGGGAAGCGCACAGGAACTTCCTCTTCCTGATCACTAATCAGAGGAAGATGGTGTGTAGGGAGGATTTTGTGCTCTTCCCGGATTGAAGCAGCAGCTGGAAGGTGAGTGGAGGGCAGGTCGGAGCAAGCGGGGCTGTTTGGTTTCCTCCACGGCGTCCAAGCAGAGAAGCAACTAGGCTGAAGCATCTCAGCTGCTCCTGCTGCCAATCCCTTCCCTCCCCAACTTTTAAGTCCTCTGGTGCTGCAGGCTGTTAAACTGGGGGCTGCGATTTTCTGCTGGTGGGAAGATTTCAAAAGTCTCCTTCAAGTGAAGGTTGATTCTTTGGGAATGGCTTCCTTGCATACGTTGTGAGTGTTGCGTCACTGGAGGCTTTTAAGAGGAGACTGGACAGCCATTTTCAGGAATAGCAATAGGGTCCTCTGCCTGAGCAGTGGGTTGGACTAGAAGACCTTCAAGGTCCCTTCCAACTTTGTTATTTTACAATTTTTTAAAACTAATTTTCTATTATTACATTTGATCAATGCTTAATAAACATCGTGTTGTCTGGTCCAATTTGTTTGCTTAATAATACAATTTCCATTCTTAGTGTCTACCCCTTTTCTCCAACCATTGATGAAATAAATTCCGTGTTTGAAAATATTCTGTATTTTCTTTCTGTTTGATCCTCAATGTAAGTCTGTCCATTTCAGCACAGTCCAATATCTTCTTGATTATCTCTTTGTCTAGTGGTGTTTCTTCATTCTTCCAGTGCTGAGGAAATACAATCCCTGCTGCTGTTAATACATGCAATGTTAAATATACACTTTGCTTATTAAATTTTTCTGATATCATACCTAATAAAAGGAGTGCAGGTTTAAAATCTACATGTTTTCCTAACATCTTTTTTAACCAAGTGTGTATTTTTGCCCTTTTTTTTTTTTTTTTTTTTTTGCTTTAGCACAAGGCCACCACATAGTAATATGTGCCAGGTGTTTGATTACATTTCCAACATTTATTAGACATTTTTGCTAATCTAGCAGGTGGTAAATGCCATCTATAGAACATTTTTTGGGTAAATATTTTATTAGATTTTGTATAGGTAAGGAAAAGATAGGGTCAGAAAACGGGTATAGGGGGAATGGGAATAGGAATTTGGGGTAGGATAAGGGTAGGTACAATAATGGGGTGACTCCCCATAATAATCCCAAGCTTTAACAAACAAACTACCGTCCGGATCTAAATGTTAAATAAATATAATTTATATAATAGTAAACAATTATAAAGGTAGAATTAACTATAATCATATATAACTAAAATTTGATAAATAAGTAAAATTCTTCTAAATAGTTATTTATATTTAATAACTCATCGACTAATTCTAATCATCACCATTAGTATTTAGAGTCACTAGTAATACAGATATTATTAATCTAAGAAAAAGTAAAACTTAGTTAAAGGTCTATCACTTATTCTATTCAATTTTAAAATTCAATTCAATTTAAGTTCTGTTCATATTCTAACGTGTCTCTAACCATGGTTAAAATTTTCCCAAGTTTTGAAATAAATTGAGTCTTCTTTCTCCTTCATCTCCAAAGTTAATCTATCCATTTCTGCACAGTTTAGGATTTTCAAAATTATAGCCTGATCAGATAGTACGTTTTCATTTTTCCAAAATTGGGCAAATACTATTCTTGCAGCTGTTAATACATGTAATATTAAATAGTCATTCTCTTTACCATAGCTAGATCCTACTATTCCTAGCAAAAACAATTCCGGTTTAATCTCTATCTGTACTTTTGTCATCTTTTCCAGCCATCTATGAATCTTAAGCCAATATTTCTTTGCGTTAGGGCATGTCCACCAGGCATGGTAGTAAGTGCCTGGGTTTTGTTTACATTTCCAACAAATATTCGATACATTTTTAAACATTTTTGCTAATCGAACTGGTGTCATATGCCATCTATAAAACTTCTTATATAAATTTTTTTATGTGTTGCTACTTTAGTAAGTTTAATGCTTTTGTCCCAAAGTTTTTGCCAGTCTTCTAAGTCTATAGAGTATCCAAAATTCTATGCCCATACTATCATTGTTTCTTTTACTTGTCCTTCTTCCATCTTCCATCTTAGCAGACATTTATAGAGTTTCTTAATCAGGTTCTCGTCTGTTTTTAAAAGTATTTTATCAAGTGGAGTCTGCTCTTTATAAAATCGGGTAGATTTTATATCTTTTTCGTATCTTGTTTGAATTTGCAAATGGGGCCACCATGTTAAATCAATACCTTGTTGTTGAAGAGCTTGCCTGTCTTTAAGTTTTCCATCTTTATCCAAAATATCTGTAAGGGCCCACCCCACTGTACATCTTAAGAAGACAGAACTCTTGGAATATCTCTTCCAACAGGCATCTTTATTAGGAGAAGATGGTTGCAGGTGTTCTAGACAGGACCTGAGGAGTTCTCTCCCTCCCTCAATGTTTTAAGTGTTCCCAAGCAGCCCCCACCCCACAGTTCTTCCGGCGACGATCACTCATCCTTTTTTCCCAGATTCCAGGCGTTGCCTTGTTCCCCCCCTTTTCCCTCACTGCCGGCAAAAGGAAGACTTCAGAGAGCTGAGTAGATGAAAGGCAATGGCCATATTGTTATGGTCAGTCCTCTTGATAGGAATCAACATCCAGTCCTTTTGTAGTTTACTGAAGGAAGTGCGAGCCATAAAAACCCCCTGCTCGTCCCCCTTCCCCTTTGTAGTATGACAGAATCCAGAGAGAGCAGAAATGGGGGTTTTCCATAGTAGATATCTAGAAATGAAATATAATTGGATTCTGACAATATCTTTATAACTAACAAGTTTGTCATAGTTAATCAAATTTGGATAGGCAAATGCATCCAATAATAATAATAATAATAATAATAATAGTAGTAGTAGTAGTAGTAGTAGTAGTAGTAAAGTTGGAAGGGACCTTGGAGGTCATCTAGTCCAACCCCCTGCTCAGGAAGGAAACCCTACACCATTTCGGACAAATGGCTGTCCAGTCTCTTCTTAAAAACTTCCAGTGTTGGAGCATTTACTGCTTCTGGAGGCAGGTTGTTCCACTGATTAATTGTTCTCACTGTCAGGATTTTTCTCCGTAGTTCTAGGTTGCTTCTCTCCTTGATTAGTTTCCATCTGTTGCTTCTTGCCCTGCCTTCAGGTGCTTTGGAAAATAGCTTGATTCTCTCTTCTTTATGGCAGCCCCTGAGATATTGGAATACTGCTATCATGTCAGACCCAATTCTAGCAACCGTTCCTTATATGTTTTAGCCTCCAGTCCCCTAATCATCTTTGTTGCTCTTCTCTGTACTCTTTCTAGAGTCTCAACATCTTTTTTACATTGTGGTGACCAAAACTGGATGCAGTATTCCAAGTGTGGCCTTACCAAGGCATTGTAAGAGTGGTATTAATACTTCACGTGATCTTGATTCTATCCCTCTGTTAATGCAGCCTAGCACTGTGTTGGCCTTTTTGGCAGCTGCAGCACACTGCTGGCTCATATTTAGGTGATTGTCTACTAGGACTCCGAGGTCCCTCTCACAGTTACTACTATTGAGCATGGTGCCACCTATGCTGTACTTGTGCATTTGGTTTTTCTTGCCTAAATGTAGAACCTTGCTTTTTTCACCATTGAATTTCATTTTGTTAGTTAGTGCCCAGTATTCAAGTCTGTCCAGATCCTTCTGTATCTTAAGCCTGTCTTCTGGAGTGTTGGCTATTCCTGCCAGCTTGGTGTCGTCTGCAAATTTGATGAGTTCCCCATCAATCGTTGATGAAGATGTTGAAGAGCACTGGGCCCAGAACAGAGCCCTGGGGCACTCCACTACACACTTCCCTCCATATAGATGCAGTTCCATTGAGGACCACTCGCTGAGTATGGCCGGTCAGCCAGCTACGGATCCATCTGGTGGTGATTCTGTCTACCCCACATTTTTCTATCTTATCAAGTAGTAGGTTGTGATCTATTTTATCAAATGCCTTACTGAAGTCCAAGTAAATTATGTCCACAGCATTCCTCTGATCCACTAATTTTGTCACTTGGTCAAAGAATGCAATAAGATTTGTCTGGCATGATCTATTTTTGACAAACCCATGTTGGCTTTTAGTAATGACTTTGTTTGCCTCTAGGTGTTCGTTGATTCGTTGTTTGATTATCTTTTCCAGGATCTTCCCATGTATTGAGGTCAGACTGAAAGGTCTGTAATTTCCTGGATCCATTTTTTTTCCCTTTTTTGAGGATGGGAACTACATCAGCCCTTTTCCAGTCCTCTGGGAGTTCCGCTGTGTTCCAGGATCTTTGAAAAATATAGTTCAGTGGTTCCGATATCACATCTGCCAGTTCCTTGAGAACCTTGGGGTGTAATCCACCTGGCGATTTGAACTCATCTAGGCTGGATAAGTGCTCACTTACCATTTTCTTCCCTATCTTAACTTGTGTTTCTATTTTGTTTTTTATGGCACTATTTTTGAAAGGTTGGTCTGTTTTTTCCCTTTGTGTAAAGAGAGATGCAAAAAACGAATTAAATAGTTCTGCTTTTTCCCTTTTGTTTGTCACCTTCTTGCCACTTCCACCCACTAATGGACCAATCATTTCCTTCACTTTTTTCTTGTTTTTTACATGTTGAAAGAAGCTTTTTTTGTTATTTTTGACTTTGGTCGCAAGCCTTAGTTCATTTTGAGCCTTGGCTTTCCTCACTTCATCTTTGCAGGCTCGGGCTATTTGCTGATATTCTGACTTTCCACTTTCTATACTTGTCCTTTTTATCTTTCAATTTATCAGAGAGTTCTTTATGCAGCCATGCTGGTTTCTTTTGAGAGCTGTTGTTTTTCCTCTTTGTTGGTATTGTGCTAGACTGTGCTTTTATTTCCCAAGCTGCTTTTTTTTTTGTAAAAAGTTTTTATTTTCAATTTTACAATACACTACATTCTTAAAAATACTTCAGATAAAAAATAAACAAATTAATACACACCATTTTCGGTATTGCTCACCCATTTCCCCCCAAACCGCATCCACCCTCTAACCAACTTACCTCTTTCCTTCTTCTTCCTCACTCACCCCCTCTCCTCCACCTTCCTACTTACTTCTCGCCTTCTTCTGT